TGGAAGATGTGAGAACCAGGAGAGGTGCTGACGTAGCTTCAGATCACCACCTAGTTGTAGCCAATTTAAAACTGAAGCTAAAAAGAACTGGACAAGTGGACAAACAGCACTACAAAGGTTCAATACAGCCTTCCTTCGAGATACTGACAAACTCAATGAATTCAAGATAGCTCTCAACAACAGGTTCCAAGCCTTACAAGATCTACTGAAAGAAGAAGAAACTACTATGGAGGACAACTGGAAAGGCATCAAGGAAGCATTAACTTCAACGTGTCAAGAGGTTCTGGGCCTAAAGAAACACCATCATAAGGAATGGATCTCTATAGAAACACTGGACAAGATCAAAGAAAGGAAGAACAAGAAGGCAGCAATTAACAACAGCCGAACACGAGCAGAGAAAGTCCAAGCACAAGCTGAATACATAGAAGCAAACAAACAAGTGAAGAAGCATTAGAGCCGACAAGAAGAAATACGTGGAAGAACTAGCAACGACGGCAGAAAAAGCTGCTAGAGAAGGAAATATGAAACAGCTTTACGATACAACGAAGAAACTAGCAGGGAAATACAGTAAACCAGAGAGGCCGGTCAAAGACAAAGAAGGCAAGCCAATCACCGAAATTCAACAACAGCGTAACAGATGGGTAGAATACTTCGAGGAACTCCTGAATAGGCCGGCTCCAATGAATCCACCGGACATCGAAGCAGCACACATAGATCTTCCTATAGATGTCAACCCACCAACGACGGAAGAAATTAGAATGGCCGTCAGACAAATCAAGAACGGGAAAGCAGCAGGACCCGACAACATACCAGCTGAAGCACTGAAATCAGACATCGAAGCAACCACAAGCATGCTTACCTTCTATTCAAAAAGATTTGGGAGGAGGAACAAGTGCCGATGGACTGGAAAGAAGGACACCTCGTCAAGATTCCAAAGAAAGGAGATCTGAGCAAATGTGAAAACTACAGAGGCATTACACTACTGTCAATACCAGGGAAAGTCTTCAACAGAGTGTTGCTGAACCGGATGAAGGATGCAGTAGACGCCCAACTTCGAGATCAACAAGCTGGATTCCGTAAGGATCGGTCGTGCACAGACCAAATTGCAACACTACGGATCATCGTCGAACAATCAGTTGAGTGGAACTCATCACTATACATCAACTTCATTGATTATGAAAAGGCATTCGACAGTGTAGATAGGAGGACATTATGGAAACTTCTTCGACACTACGGAGTTCCTGAGAAGATTGTCAACATTATCCGGAACTCATACGACGGACTACAGTGCAAAGTAGTGCATGGAGGACAGCTGACAGATGCATTCCAAGTAAGGACTGGAGTCAGACAAGGCTGTTTACTCTCTCCCTTCCTCTTTCTTCTGGTGGTCGACTGGATTATGAAGACCTCGACATCTGAAGGAAAACACGGAATACAATGGACAACTCAGAATCAATTAGACGATTTGGACTTCGCAGACGACCTAGCCCTCCTATCACGTACACACGAACAGATGCAGATGAAGACAGCCAGTGTAGCAGCAGTCTCTGCATCAGTAGGCCTCAGCATACACAAAGGGAAAACCAAGGTCCTCAAATTCAAAGCGGAGAACAGCAATCCAATCACTCTTGATGGCGAAACTCTGGAAGATGTAGAGTCCTTCACATACCTGGGAAGCATCATCGATGAACAAGGAGGTTCAGATGCAGACGTAAAGGCGAGGATCGGCAAAGCAAGGGTCGCATTCCTACAATTGAAGAACATATGGAACTCAAAACAACTTTCAACCAATATCAAAGTGAGAATCTTCAATACGAACGTCAAGGCAGTTCTACTGTATGGAGCTGAAACTTGGAGAACTACAACAACCACCATCAAGAAAGTACAAGTATTTATAAATAGCTGTCTACGCAAGATACTCAACATCCCTGGCCGGATACCATCAGCAATAGCCTTCTGTGGGAGAGAACAAACCAACTTCCAGCTGAAGAAGAAATTAGGAAAAGACGATGGAAATGGATAGGACATACATTACGCAAATCGTCAAACTGCATCACGAGGCAAGCCCTAACTTGGAATCCTGAAGGGAAGCGAAAAAGAGGAAGGCCAAAGAACACATTGCGTCGGATAATAGAAGCAGATATGAAAAGGATGAATTACAACTGGACGGAGCTAGAAAGGATTGCCCAGGACAGGGTTGGATGGAGAATGCTGGTGAGTGGCCTATGCTCCTTCACGAGGAGTAACAGGCGTAAGTAAGTAAGTAAGTAATTTCCAACCATAGATGTCGACGGCTTTTTAAAATCAAACTGAATCCACCAATACTTGGACAGATGGCATATATATATATATAAAACAAATCAAGTAGTGAACATGAGATTATGGTTTTAAAGTTACTTTAATAATCTGTATTCAGATCGAAACAGAAGAAACACTTACGTACTTACTTACTTACGCCTGTTACTCCTAATGGACCATAGGCCGCCGACCAGCATTCTCCAATCCACTCTGTCCTGAGCCTTCTTTTCTAGTTCCATCCAATTCTTGTTCATTTTTCTCATGTCTATCTCCGTTTCTCGGCGTGATGTGCTCTTTGGTCTTCCTTTCCTTCTCCGTTGACCTTGAGGATCCCATGTGAGTGCTTGTCTCGTGACGCAGTTGGGTGCTTTACTCAATGTGTGTCCTGTCCACTTCCAGCATTTCTTCCTGATTTCTTCCTCCGCTGGGATCTGGTTTGTTCTCTCCCACAGCACGTTGTTGCTAATAGTGTCCGGTCAACTGTTAATAAACACTTGTATTTTCTGGATGATGGCTTTCGTAGTTCTCCAGGTTTCCGCCCCATACAGTAGAACTGTCTTGACATTTGTATTGAAAATTCTGACCTTGCAGTTGGCTGACAGTTGTTTTGAGTTCCATATGTTCTTCATTCGTAAATATGCTGCTCTTGCTTTTCCGATCTGCGCCTTCGCATCTGCATCAGATCTACCGTGTTCATCAAAGATACTGCACAGATATGCAAAGGTTTTTACATCTTCCAAATCTTCTCCGTCAATTGTGATTGGATTAGTGCATGCTGTGTTGTACCGGAGAATCTTGCTTTTCCCTTTGTGTGTATGTTCATACCTACTGCTGCTGAGGCTACTGCTACACTGGTCTTCTTCTCCTGCAATTGTTGTTGCGTTTGGGATAGAAGGGTCAGATCATCCGCGAAGTATAGATCGTCCAACTGCATCCTAGATGTCCACTGTATCCCATGTTTCCCTTCAGATGTTGACGTCTTCATGATCCAGTCAATCACCAGGAGATAAAGAAAGGGTGAGAGTTAGCAACCTTCCCTGACACCGGTCTTTACTTCGAACGAGTTTGTACATTGTCCTCCATGCACGATTTTGCAGTTTAATCCATCATAAGAATTCTGTATGATACATTTATGAGGAGAGAATTGTTACAATTTTAATTGTGTACGAATGATAACATTGAGTAACCATCCCATTAATTAATACGATGATACGACCTTATTTAACAGCCATAATATAATGATCTATTTATGCTTTATTTTGTACAGGTTGTTCTTAACATAAACGAAATCCTCAATCACTATCGATAATAAAAAAATTTTAAAACTCTATTCTCTTTTAAAAATTAATTGAACACACTATTTTATATAAATATGCATACATATATATTTATCAATTTTGTGTTTGTGTGGATGAGTGTATTTCTGACGGATTATCTGCACCATAAAAGAGAAGTACTGAGGAGGAATTACTATGTTGGATAAGAAAAAAGACTTTATTGTTGAATAACGCAAGAAGATATTGGGTTACCAACAAAAATATCAGTCAACATTTATAAATAACAAAAAGGTCTGAATAAGCATGGAAGATCAACAGGTGGAACGTCTCTCGTTCCTTAAGAGAACAAAAGTATAACATACCATATTATATATTAGGACGAAAAATTGAACAAAAGAAACAAAGACTGTATTATCCCAAAGTAGAAACATATATCACGTGTTGTGCACGAATCATGTACGTATACACGTGTCATTTGATTGAGAAAGAGTAAGACAGGCAAAACAAGAGTAAAATTATGCACATTGTTCTGTAAATTAAAGGGGTATGTATTTCTGTGTATGTGTGTACACGCTAAAACATAGATTATAATAAATGAAAGAAAAAGGAATCAGTGAGGCAGCGAATTCATAAGACGGAAAGAAATTCAGCAAAGAGATCAATTTTGTTTAGTGGGTGAAAATATAATTGTAATATACGAAGTTTTATAAATTGGTAATGCTTTGTAGCCCTCTACTTACTCTGAACGATATATATATATTCATAATAATGATATTGTCATCATAATAAACAATAATTTAGAAAATAATTACAACTGGACAGTAACCCCAAAAAACGGAAAATAAAGAAAACCACGTAATTTTTCCAAAATTCCTTTTTTACCATCAATTCGTATGAAACAACAAAATGTTTGAATAGGTAGGGATTACATCAACAATCATTGGGGTTGATATATAATTAAAACTAATTCTGTGTAAATAATGTACAGAAATAAAATAGCTCACTTATGAAGACACACATACATACATACACAAATATATCCAACTCACACACATTATTAGTAAGAGAAAAGCAAGGATACAACTTAATGTTTCAAGTCGAACAATGAGTTAGAGTTTCTTTGTGTATTCAACCATATACCACAAATATACAGTATATATATATATATATATATATATATATATATATATATATATATATATATATATATATATATATATATATATACGAAAGGCTGCCATACTTCACACTTAAAAATCACTTAGACGACAAATGCTAGAAAAATAATAATAGTAATACACATGTGCATAAATGTATAGTCTACTTGATTAAGTATAAATAAACAAATGATATGAAAATTAATTAACAGTAACAACCTTTTTGGTAACACATCAAATTAACATGCATATATATATATATATATATATATATATATATATATATAACATTTAGTCTAATAGGCGGGTAAATGGAATTCGAATGTTACAAGGAAATCATAAGCATTGATCAGAAACAATATACAAAACACACATATACTTGAAAATTATATTTCTCAAAAATAAAATATCTAACGACTTGACACTAATCATGATTAACTGTATCGTTATTGGTGTTGATTGATTGTATCGTGCTATTACAAAAGTAAGGAAAGAGAACAGTCAAATAGGAAAAGAAATGATACAAAAAATAATATTATTATCACCAATAAATAAAATGACAACGAACCGATTGTAAAGCAAATAAAAGATAGGAAGAAATAGAAATCATGAGATCATACATTTATGCGTAACACAGTAAATAAGATAGAAATTGCACTGTAATGTTGAATCATAACACATATGCGTGTGCTTATGTGTATTCATAAATAAGTATAAGAGATTTCGTTGCAATACTTATAAACATGCATTAAGAATAAATAAAAACTGAGGTAAAAGCTTGGTAAGGAAGAATGTATACAATAGGGTGTATTATCATAGAATGAATAAATAAGTGACAGTCTGGCAGTTCGGAGATGAGAAGGGTTTGGATAGGAGTTGAAAATCAACATATTCCGAATAAAGTCTAGTTAAATAAACAATACATATTAACAGAATACGCATCACAGCCCATCCACAATCACCCATAAACGCACAAGTACATAAGCACACGCAAGCACAGGTAGAGGATATGAAAAAAGGGGAATCAAATTAAGATATAAATAATAACTATTCATTCTATGGAAGGATAAGGTTTAAAACAAAACCGAAAAAGTACATAATCTTTCGCTTCTCATAAACTGAACAAATGTTCTGAAGGGAGAATTAGAGAACTATTAATACAATAACTTCCATGATCGGCAACAAGCATACCAACAAGCTTCAACGAGAAATTAAGTCCTTGAGCATATTGAACTATATATATATATATATAAAGCAGATCTGAAAGCTTTATTAGAAACATTCTCCTCGCTCACACGCATAAACATTCACATACATTCGCAATTGGTTAGAATAGACTCAACAACCAAGACGAGATTAAACATTCAATTGCAATAGTCTCGCTTCTTATTTTTCCCCTTCTTCAAAAATAATAAACAAAATGAAAACCATTTAACAAAAAAAATTAATAAAAGTCATAAGAAAGCAACAACAATAATAGTAGTAATAAGCTGAATAAAACTACAAATTAAAAACAGATGGAATAAAGAAATAAATAATAAGTTGAATTATGAAGTATTTTGAAATCAGAGTTTAGGAAAACAAATCAAGTAAGATAGAGTAGTAAATGCATCATTGATCTCTATGAACTCCTATGAACTGATTGATTGATTGAACTATTTCTTTTGTAGAGTAGGACAGAATAAGGTGTATAAATATAATGTCAGTCAGAATGAAATTGAACCTGATAGGGAGAGAGAAAAAAGCAAAACAATTTTAATAAATTAGTAGTTGATGAATATTGTAATTGAAAATGTTCAAAGTTCAGTAAATCTATTATCAATTGAGTTTCTGTTTATATATGACAATTCTATTTAAACGTAGTGAATTACGTGAATGTATAAATGTTAGGAATTTTAAAAAGTGGCATTCTTATTTGGGCATAAATATACTGGTGAACAGTTGGGAAAAAGATTCAGGCATAAATAGAAGTTTATGGTACATAATTTCTTATTCCTTAAAAATACATGTTTTTTTCTCTGCAAAGCTTAATATATAATCGCACACACCGAGTTTCAATATACAACTGATCAAAACACACTCACATAAGATACAAAATGCCTATTTTATTAAGGTCAAAGTAAAAAATTACAATATTTCTTTTATGAAAGTTAAATCAAATCCAATAATAAATATTGCATAATAGTAATAACAATAATAATAATCTCAAACCCTTAGTAATAATGATACAAACGTCGTATTTGTTGAATAAGTTGGCACCTATCTCTACTCAGTACCCTTAATGGGTAAGGTGTTGGTGTTTGAAGCGAAAGCTATTGGTTTCGATTCCTAATTTGAACATCAATACAGGAATGTGTCTTTTTAGCTGAAAGTTTTTGATTTTCACAGAACTGAATTTCCATTCAAGAAAATTTAAACCAAGTGGTTTTAAAATTAGATACTGAGTTTCATAGTGGTAAATACGCTTTTCTCAAAATTTACATTCATTAGAAACAAGTAATTATATGAACAATTTTTTAAAAAAATTTGGAAGATTATTCACATGCTACTTGTCTGTGATTCAAATTTAAATGGCATCCAAGAAAAAAAAACCAGAACTAGAAAAACTTCAAAAATACGTTATCAACAGCTCATAGATACTACTGAAGTGAAAAATTATAAGCAGATAATATATGGGTCTTAATATAATAACGAAATACAGGTTCCCGAAACACACAGATATAACAAAAGCATATGTAAACGCAATAACTGATGTATTATCATGAAAGATAGTAAATAATTTATGAATGTTAATAGTATTATGATCTATTAAACATACACAAATATACCATTGTTTAAAAGGTTTCGTTCCGATACCTACTACAAAACGATATTCTTAAGTAGCCATGATAATTTTGCGAAAACTTTTAAAAATTTAACTCTGGCTACTAGTTTAAAAGTAAACAGAAATAGTAACAATAACAAACACATGATATTCTGTATTATTTACCGAATTCTTTATAGGCAATCAAAAGTAACATGTACACATGAAGTTTACTAATATGTATTAAGTTATCTGCCCATTCAAATAGTTTAGACGGTGAAGATTAAAGGCATAAAACAACAGTTTATGAATAAAAATATAAGAGTAAAAACGAAAAACGTAGTCAGTTATTTATGAAAAGTAAGAAGTAGTTAGATAATACATTTAAGTATGACTAATAGTTTCTAAAGAAATTAACTTGTTTTCAATTTTGATCACTTTAAAATATACACCAAAAATTGTGGTGAAGTATTCAGTAGATTGAAAGTAAGCTAACGGTAGCTAAATCAAAATGTAGCATCAGTCCACGAAAGCAATGATGACTGGACTAAGCCATGTACATCCGTTTGGACTGTCTGGTTAGGGTTCACGCAGTTAATGTAACCAGTGGTATGAGACGTTGGATGATATGGATCAGAATCATTTGTAATGATGTAGATGCGTTCACTTTTTGTCTCCTCTTAGATCCTGAGCCCCAAAAGCACCTTATATATCTTTCTTCTTTAGATACTCAATCTTTTCTATTAGTACTGACACTGTTACTACTTTTACCACTCTGAGATTTGTTTTGAATAGTTTACAGTGAGGCAACCTAAACCGATGCACATATGTCCCAGATTATGCGTCTTGAAATTACCGTCTAACATTTCGGAAAATTATCTAAAAGTTACTACAGTTAGGGTTCTTTCATCGTATTATTCCGCCAAAAATTAAATCCCATTATATTGATAGACCAGTTTCGCATGCAAAATTTTATTTGAAAGTTGGAACTGATTCTTTAGATGCGTCTGTGTATGTGAATAGAATTATCAAAGAAAACGAAGAATCTACCAAGTGAGTGGGTCATCTCAGAAAATACAATAGATAACCAAGAACAACGCCAGAAGTGGTGGTAAACAAACACTAATGATAAACGTTATAAATTATGATCTTTATCACTTCTTAACAGCTTATTTATGGGCTGTGAAATGAAAATGTCATTACTCAGATATTTACTGATCGATTATCAGATATACGCAATTAAACTACTCAAATATAGTGAGTAGTAAAAATTTGTTTAAAAGAGATAGTCGAGAACCTGGTGGTCAGTAATTACAGCCACCCAGAATACTGTTTTTCCAAACCAATTAATCAAATAAACTCCCTACTTTCCTTATAGGAAGAAATACTTTACTCACAAATTTAATTTCTGGCATAATATAACTAACTTTCATTTGATAGAATCATCTCACTATATCTGTTACAATTCAAGCAGTTTGGTAAAGTAGTTGACCGATCACCGAATAGTAATCAAAGTCATACTTATCCAATCTTTTAGTGTTGATCGAATTATATCGATCAGGCTGGAGCGTAGTTACTAGACTGAGCAACCCAGCATCACTTGCAATATCCTGAGATACAAAGTGGTTTGAGGTAGTTTGGGGAGGAAACCTTGATTGACATGGGTTTCGTGCCAACTTGAACTCATCAGCAAGATACACCTTCACGCTTAAGAGAACTGATATCTCTATTAGAGCCAAACCCGCTTCACCTGCCTTCAGAGTTCCAGACGTTACCATTGAGCTATCCAGGCTGTTAACCATTACGGTGTAAAGTAACCTTAATTCCAATGTCGAAAATATCCGGAAATTATTTTAGAACTAGATATAAACCAATCTTGCCTTTAAAAATTCTAAAAAACGCACAGTACATTGGTGGACATATTTCTAAATATCCCGACAATTTTTTAGGAAGAACTAATAATATTTTTATTAAACGTCTCTTCCAACTGTATTCTACATTTCGTTGTTAGTAATTAACAAAAGTAACGATTCAAAAATTTAGACTCCTCAAACTCATGATGAATTCACAATAGCTTAAAATATTCTGAATGAAATTACATAAATCAGTAAACTGATAAACTTTTGTTTAAAGCCTAAACACAAAATGTGAAATTTTGCCGAGAATAACAAGTAAACGTTTTTTTATCCCGTTTACATAACAACTAAGCAATAAACATGTATTATATATATGTATATAAATGTATGACGTATTTGAAAATAATCACAGCAGGATTCTTAATTCAGTTGATAAATGTTTTTCCGTTTAATCACAAGTCTATTGGATAATAAAAGCTGCTATCTACTTTACGAAGTGTTTATTAGATGAAAATAATTAATTTCTATAGAAATGTGATATTTCCTTTTCTAGTTAACCAAAAATGATAAGTGAGAGAAGTAGATTAGAAAAAATAAATTAACTGCGCAAAGTTAGAGCTCAGGCAAAGTCAACATTGATTAATCCACGAAAAAAAGACACTGATTCTAATTACTATTGCATTTATTTTATTCTGACTAAAAATGTGGTCAGTATTAAAATACAACTCTTCAAAATGGGAGAATTTTACATACTTATTTTATTTGCTAAATATTGGCAATATACTACGACTTCGAAAAAAGGTTTGAGGTTTGAACTCATCCTATTCACTTTCATTAAAAGCAATAGCAAATCTTCAATCTCATAAAACAGGTATGATTTTAAAAGTTACCGAACAACAAAACAAAATATTGCTTACTAAGTCGAATTTATTTCACTGAAGCTAGAAAGCGATTAAAGATAGTAGCCTTAAATGATTTTAAGAGTTCCATAAATCTATAACTGCCGGTATAATAAATAGAATTTTCTATTTCACAAATCATGCTGCTTCATAATGACTTCACTACGCTGACTATACACTATTATATTATAAATTATCAGTTGATAAAACCAAGAAGTTTATTTTCTAGTCTCCTCTTCGCAGTATTTGTTTCGATAATGTATCATCCCAATCATTAGTTGTATTGAGATCCTATTTATTCAGATGTAGTGCAATCGTATAAAAGACATATAAATTCCTATGATCAGTTATTCATTTGGCTAAATAAATGGTAAGATTAATTTTTGTGTGTATATATACTGAGATTTAGTCAGAGATTCTTCAACCTAAGTTAATGTATTTAAAATAGGAAACCAACCAATATATTAAATTTAATGGTACACAACAGGAGAGATTAAACTTATAGATCAATTCTAAAATAATATTTAGTTGGTGATAAAACATACTGGTCTCTAAACGTTTATAAAGAGTTGATTTTGTATTTTCCTCCCTTCAGCAAGAAATCACTCAGATATCTATGAATTCGGTAAAAATAGTCATAATCAAAAAATAAATCTTACAGAAGTACAAAAAGGAAACTTGTATTCCAAAGGACGTGTACAATGAAGTTCAACATTAAATTAATTGTAATAAACTAAGAAGATATAAATTACCATTCACCCTAACATTTTTGTAAGACCCTTCGATAACGTACTAAGTCATTTTATCAGTAAGAAATATTCAATAAATGGATCCTTAAATAAATACAAACAACAACAGATTTTATTTTGTGACAAGATTTATACTTAATTATTACAAGAGACAGAACGTGAAAATTTAACTAAGATAATATAGTTAGTCTGCAGTTTGTCTAATATTTTCTGTGTTTGTAGAATTACAAAGATATTCAGGAGTTGGTTATTTATCAACCAGAAAGTGTTTCATAGTTTATACAATTCGAATATGTTTAACACAACTGTGTCTGTATAGCCAAATAGTACTTGGTAGTCGTGCTATACAGTGTTCGAAAACACTTAACTCAATGTAATTGTGAAAAATTAATAAAAATAACCATATTAGACTACAATATCAACGTTCAGCGATTAATGGACAAAAGGGGATTGACCATGTTATCCTCTCTTTGAACTACACTGATACATCTACCTTATAACTAGATTTAAAAATGATTTTCCTCCTATTTCTAATAATATTTTAGAATTTGCCTCGGAAAACTTTAAGAAAGCTTACATAAGCTTCTTTACAATTCAGTACACCCACATGGTTTTTTTTCTGTCCAAACTTATATAATTGTCTAACTAAGAGTAACTAGAAATATGGAATAAATTTAATATATTATTCACTAAACTCCATGCACTTCTAACTAAAGATTACAGACATAAAGTTTATATCCAATCATAATATGATTGTTCAAATTACCATAGGGTTCTATCACAATATGTTAAATGGTGTAGATAATTTCTGACTTAAGAATAAAATAATTAGATACTCAGAAAGTAATTACTCCAGAAAATCCGGTCCGACGAATAAAGATGAAAAGAAATTATATGAGAATCCAGCTAATGTTTTGATCATTTAAATTCATATTTAGCCAGCCCAAATTGTAGAACAACTCGTGTCTCATGTTCACAGTTGTAAAACCAAAAAATAATGACAAGCTCATTGTCTAACTCAATCATATTTTTCTGATACTTCATGCAACTGTAACAGATATTAAAAGAAATGAATCGATATCATGACATTTAGTGAACCAAAAATAGTACAAGATGTAAACTTACCTTATATATTGAATTTATCGACGGTGAGTTTTGACATGTCGATGAAGATTACCCAGTTGAGCAAATGCTTTTAGACATTGTGGACATCTGTAGGGTTTTTCACCTGTATGCGTACGAATATGAGCTCGTAAGTGATCTTTCTGGGGAAATGCTTTAGGACAATAACGACAAGGATACGGTCGTTCTCCAGTATGAGTACGGATATGAGCTTGAAGGTTATCTTTTCTCTCACAAGATTTCGGACAATAAGGACATTGATGTCTACGTCTTGAACAACACGTAACCATATTCGTAGATGATGTCACGACAGTTTGTAATGATGCAGACGATGTGGTAGACACAGTAACAGTAGTGGATGGAATGGAAGGTGTACTAGGACAGGAATAAGACAGACGTCGACATTTTACATCTTGATATTTACTACTCTGTTGAGCTGCTAAGTTGGATAATTGTGAAAAATTACGCGAAGAAAGTAACTTATCTGCAGAAGGCAACTTAATGACACTTGTTTTAACATCGTTTTGCTGGTTATTCGAAGTACTTAACGTATCAGCTTTACTATTTGTACTGTCTTTATTACTATCATTAGCAATAACAGAAGATAATGAAGAGACTGGAGGAAGTATACAACTACCGATTACTGAACTAGAAGTTACAGAGTGATTAGATTTGGATGAATCCAAACTACCATTCGAACATGAAATGGAAGGAGAAGGTAAAGAATTATTATCAAAAGATATACATGAGGAGGAAGACATAGATGATGATGACGCCGATAATGTAGTTGCTGAAGGTGAAATAAATGCATGAGTATTGAAGTTTTGTGAAGATATAAATACATTATTACTATTATTATCATTAGAAGAAGAAAGTGAAGCCAAAGACTGAGATGATAAAACCACTGTGTGTTGAGGAGTATTAGGTAATAAAGTCAATGGAAAAGATAATGATGTATCATTTAAGGTATCTACTGTTCTAAAATTCATATTGGATGTATTTTCTGTAGTAACTGAAGACGAATTTAATGTTGTGGAATTACTAGCTAAAGTGTTAATATCATGGCTGGTAAATGTTGATATATGTGTCCATGATGATGAGGAGGATGAGGTGGATGATAATGACGATGGTGACGATGATGACGACAATGATGTTGTCGTTGTTGTTATAAATGCAGATGATGCTGTTGAAAAAATTGATGTCAATGGATCTGTAGCACATAATGAGAAAATATTTGATCTACTAGAAACTGTTGGAAGAAAAACTAAATTCCCTGAATCAGAAAAATTCTTATGATTAGGATTAGCAAACACTACGGTTAAACCAGCACTAGTAGTAGATGAAATAGGTAAAGAATTAAATGCTCTATTTATTGTACTAACAGGTAAGGAAGTATTGAAATATGTAGGGTTAATAATATTTGGCTTAGATGTTGGACGAAGAATGAAAAGTTGTGTTCCCAAAGGTAACTGCGCAGCGGTTGAATATTTGATATCACCTGGGATAGTATTAAAACTATTTGGCAATGTAGCTGAACTCTGAAAAGTTGATAAGTTTGAATTAGATAGCATAGAAGTGGATAGGGTAGATGGAATTAAATTAACACGTTGTTGTGTGGGAAGTTGTACAACTGGAATATTAGAAACATTCCCATTAAGATTTGTAACAATTCCAGGAGTTGGGAGAAGAAAAACCGATCCATTATTTTCTGAAGCAACAGTGTTATTAACTGAAGTAAAATTTGGAAGACATGGTGTAGAATTTTGTCGTACAACATTATTGTTTTTAACATTTAGAAGTATGGACATACCAGGACTTACAGTTGGTAGAGAATTTATAATTTGTAATGGTAGAAGAACACAACCAGAACTGGTAGATAAACTTGCAACCTGTGGCTGTGGTGCTTCAACACATGCTCTACCTTTAAGAGATAAAACAATAGGAGCAGATGACTGCAATTCTGCAGGAGAGATAACACCAGGAGTAACAGGATGAGAAACAACAAATGTAGATTGTGTGCTAACAGGATGAGGTGCTATCTGAAAACTTGGAGTTGGTATTATTAAAGGAGTATGAGTAACTGAGCCTCCTTCTTTGGAACTAACTGATGTGAAACCATCAACATAACCATTTTCTGTAAAGCATGAAGTAGTAAAACGACTGGAGGTAAATGGATGATCATTAGGAGTTGTAAACGAAGATCTTATTTGAGAAGAGACTATCAGTTGCTTACCACCTTTATTCGACTCACAAGTTGATTCCCGAATAATATTGGATGAATGAACTTGATCGAAGGAGGTAAGAGAGGAAGGGCTCTGAGATATAGTTGCTAGTGATGCATTTTGAGAACTAGATCCAATCAAAGTGGTGAACCGAAGATTTGGAATGAAAGGTAATTCACAAATTGTTGACTGAGGATCTACGTTTATAATCTGCTCGGGAAAAGATTTATCCTGATGGTAGTTCCCTCCAACAGTGGAATCAACACGTTCACAAAGATCTGGTTTTGAAGAAAACATGGGCTAAAAGTGAATAAGAAGAAAAGAATGAAATGACACTACCCTACAGGTACTGGCAATATTTTATGCAGTACAGAAATTCTTGGAAATGTACTACAGTGCACTGATTATCTCATAAAGTATGATAAATGAAACAAGTCAATGTTGACAATAAATATGAAATTTTTATAAATAAATTAATATATCTGTAATATCCCAATGAGTAGAAAAATTAAATTTTCTGACGTTTCGTGACTCAGTATAAGTCACTTCTTCAAAAGGATATTACAAATATATTTATTTATAACAATCTACCCAATGATCAATTTATTCGAAATTATCAAGTCAAACCTTGGTAATGATACCGGCAAGTATGAAATTTGTTACATATTGTGCTTTACTAGTCAGTCTTTAAGTTTTTACTCTTGTTGGTAAGTATGTCTAGTCAACTATATGAGAAAATATGTAGTGTTTTTGAGCTAGCTTTGCCCACTATACATCTATTTTAGTGATGTATGTATCTGTGGCTTGAAAAGTATTAACATATATGTCAAAAAATTGCATTGTTTTGTATTTTGCAAAGAAACAAGTATTCGGAATATGAAGTCAGTGAACGTTCAGAAGATCGAAAATAATCTCAAAAGGTTTGTGTTGCAACAAATCATACAATAATTTTGTATTCACCTCAGTGTGAATAACATGATCGAATGATTCTTAAAAACTTTTGGATGTTGTGTATGCTTCTTAAAACATTCCTGTTATGAACCAGAAAATGAGTGGACAGTGAACTGTGAAGAAATTTTATATTTCAGCTAGTCCAATAGTTAAAATGATCTCCATATATTCTGGTATATTATCGTTAATCAAACAGATTCAATGAATCACCCCATGTTTATAATAAATTAAAACTCGAAGACAAAAGCAAATATTCAAAATAAATAGTGTTCAACGAATCTAACCATTTAAGAGTAAATTCAACCAAACAGATAGGTAAGATACATGATTCAACTCACTCGCTTCCTTTCATCATTCGGAGTACACATTACATTAACAACTGATGGGACTTTTAATGTTCCATTGTGTCTTTTATCTAAACATGTTGAAGAAGAAACAGAGGGCACAGATCTCGTGTTAGTAATGATGCATTGAAAATCGCTTAAATTATTTACGCTTGCGCTAGAATGATTCAGTACATCTTTGACAATGAAATGATTTTGAATTGACTGTTGTGTGAAAGTTCCAACTTGATTAACACAAAGATTGTTCGACATTAACGATGTTTCTGCAGATGATGTTGATAATGAAGCTTTGTATTCGTCGCACACTTTCGTTGGTAATAGTTCGTGTTCAGATAACTCAGAGGTAGAATAATGCATAACACAACTTGAACAATTCGCTATTAAATCCTGATGATCAGAATTACATGTATAGGGATTGTCACTAGAAATAAAATTTGAAGTATTAACATGTGATGTTGATATCAAAGGATCTATGTTGTTTGAAAGATTATTGTTATTACAAGACATAAGTTCATCCGATGTACCTTGTTGTAAAGATAGTAAATCTGGAGAAAGAATGTGGTGTTTATTTGTATTATCAGCCAAACAGTCAGGTGTTTGACTGAAATAGGACTTTTCATAACTCGGATCTGATGAAATATCTATATGATCAAAAGGTGAATGTGGACAACCTGATGATTCAGGTGATAATGTAGGTGGCTGGGCATTGTCTAGTAAGTGAGAATGTCCTAATGATGGTGAGCGAAGGATAGGTATACATAGGGAAGCTAATCGAGCTTCATGATCTATATCCTCGATATCAGAATCTCCAGCAGAAACAACATCCACCAAATCACTCGGTATTTGACGTGTAGATTCACTTACAAATTGAACAAGTTCACTAGGTACCAAATCACTTTCTTCCTCTTCAAGATTAGGAGGGCAATTACTGTAAACAGGTAAACAATCACTCTCATCAACACACTGGTCAAGTACTGAATTTGCAGTTGATAGTGAGATACTTGCTGAAGATGAACAATCTAAACTTAGAGGGACATATCTCAATGACTGGAAATCAGCAAATGCACCGGATAGAGGACTAGATGGAAAATCTTTTAAATCAATAAATGAAGAGGAAATTTCAACTTGTGATTTTAAGTAAACTTGTGACCTTTTTGAGAAATCAGAACCGTTATGACTACGTAATGTGCTTGAGTTCAATAAACACTTGTTGGCAACTGGATCTTGACAAACGTCAATATGACTTCCGAATTTCGTAAGTGTGGCAGCCAAAATTGGAGACGGGTGAGGACGTGATGCCAACTTTTCAAAAACTTCTTGCATTCCTGGAATAGCGTTATTATTGGTTGGAGCTTCATCACTCAATGGCGTAGGTAATGGTGATAAGTAAAAATCAGATTCATCACCCGTTTTGATCAAACCACAATCTTGTGTCAAATTGATTGTTTCACTAACAATGAACGGCTGCAATTTTAAAGAGCCATGGTTAGTTACCAGTCTAGTTTGACTGCTCATCTAAAAAAAACGAAATGGTCACAATGAAGTGGGAAATAACGGAAAGCAAAACACCCAGAAAAAACTATTTGCTACTAAATAAAGTCATGTCAGTTTCACGCATAATTTCTAAAAAGCGTGTAATAATACTAATATTTGCTGTTACTGAGAACTGTTACAAGAACTCAGATATTAAGGTCGTTAGTTTCGGACTCGACTCAACAACCAACCAATCAAATATTATACTAAACCTCACTATCACTAGCCATTTCGGCTTTAAAAGCCTGCCTTTATTCATGCACTTTCGTGCAATCCTGATGGATGGCTGCTGCATCAAGCCAATGAACCTGGACATTTGACAGTGACTGACCACCAATATCCTGATTTTATTTAAATCACCACACTTCTAACTCATCAGACATAATCCTGCGATGAAAAATCATCATGTGATGGCAGTACTTAGGTGATGTAGAAACGATGAAATGTAAGACGAAAAACGGCTGAGAAGTCCGATTTTTGTTTTTAGAAATAGGAACAGAAATGAAACAAATTTACTGTTCAAACGTAAAGTATTTCAAAGTGAGTCAATTTAACTTGATCTAAGTTTTGTAAAATAACTTTCTTGGGACTTCAGTTAACGTTTTGTTTCGAAAACACTTCGTAGTTTTCTATAGACTACTCAAAAATGGTCATACATAACTAAATTATTGTTTTTCCACTTTATCTAGCAGCTTAAGAAACAATCCTTAAATGTGTATTGATAAGTGTTATCGTGAATCCAGAGACAACAAAACACATCAACTGGGGATAATATCTTGACATACGAGTCCCACAGGACTGTTGTACCAAAACAAACGATTTACGACACTTAAAGCACTCATCTATATGTTTCTACCATCCCAGATTTGTTGTCTGAAAACTAGTGAAATTAAAACCGACTCACTCCATGTCCGAAGGTATAAGTGAATTACTGCTTGTAACTGGGTGTCGAGGCAAGGATCTTATTACTGTTGATGGCCAGCAACTACACTAATATATCCTTCCCAGAGCCAGGAAGAGATGAAGAAAAATAAGCCTTTAAATGAGCAAACCCTTTATTCCCCAGAAAGAGTCCTGATCCCGAAAAACTAGACTAACCACAAATATTGCAGACAACTCTCCAGAAAACGCTTGATGTTAACAATTCTCAAAACCTGTTCACTGTTTGTAATTATCCTATCAGACCGATTAGATAACCAAAAACAGATTTTCTTTCCAAGGAGAAATAAGTTTCTATATTTTGAGTGACCATAGAGTGACAATCAGTCAGTCATTCAGTAACAACATAGAACTTCGTACGGACGTACATCAGTTTGAGTTGCCACACCACATTAGCACAGAGATCCAGTTGTCGATTCAAATTCCACAGTGTTAAAGGTAGCACAAGTATAAGCAGCAATCGGAAACATTAAGATTTGAAAATATCATTCAAGGAGTATAATACAGTGAAATAAATTTGGAAAGAGAAAAAAAGAGACAAGGAGGAATAAGGAGATTAGAATTTGGGAGAACACAGAGAGTGGATGCACCTGTGCTGTTGCAAACGATTTTGAGCCATGTCATTCAGGGTCTCTAACCATCGGTTGCTATCATCTCGCGGTCCCCAACCAGGTAGTCTACACCTGCCAACATGGCTAAGTCCACTTGTCAGTGACTTCATGGACTTGTGCCATGTTTTGGTCTGGCCGCCTCTAGCTTTCTTCCAACCTACTCCTATACCACTAAACATCGCACGTCGAGGCAGTCGGTCGTTGGGCATACGTAACACGTGTCCCAGCCATATCAACTGATGAAGTTTCACTACTTCATCAATTGATTTGCCATCCTTACCTAGTACCCGTTTCCTAACAACTGCGTTACTTACTCGATAGTCCCAGGATATACGAGCAATATTTCGAAGACACCCATGATCAAATACTAGTAACCTACGAATATTCTCTACTCTTACCGGCCATGTTTCATTGCCATAAAGTAGGACGGAAAGAACTGCTGCGCCGTTAACCCGTCCTTCGGTTGATAGACGGATATCTCGCCTACGCCATAAATGACGCAAGTTGGTAAAAGCTAGTGAAGCCTTCTGTATCCGTGCTGAGATTTCGTCACACACCAGACCACAAGGGCTGGTGAGACTTCCAAGATAAGTGAAGCGATCGACACGCTCAATTACTTCACTCCCTATCATTACTTCGGGTGTCAATGCAACCCAATCCTGAAGCAACATTTTGCATTTCGAGGGGAGAATCTCATGCCAAACATGCTAGCATTGTTGCTTAGAGTGGTCAGAAGACTCCGCATTTTTTCAGCGTCTTCGCCAAATAAAACTATGTCATCAGCATATTCTAAGTCAACAAGTGAACCTCCCGGTAGAAGTTCAACCCCTGGAAATCTAGATGAGGAAAGTGTCATCTCAAAAAGCACGTCAACGACAAAGTTGAACAAGAATGAAGAGAGTGGACAGCCCTGACGAACACCACTTGAGGTAATCAATTCTGATGATAGTTCGCCATAAGCTCTCACTCGACCAGTTGTGTTCGAGTAGAAAAGAGAGTGAAAATCACCAGCACGACACTAGCAACATTCCTGCGTCGTGAAATAGTGAATTATGAAATATGATAAATGCATGATAGTACTTCAGTGTGCTATGTTCAACAATATTTTCTTTCCGCATCCCTTAAATTACTTGTTTTTGATACTAATCCTTTTAAAATAACTTGAACTTCTCAAGAATATGAAGACAATACTAGTCGTTTAAGTTTACAGATTAACTCCAGATATGTATTACAGCCTACAAGGTCTAAATTTTCTATCAACACAAACAACTTACCTCACTAACTAGAACCATGAAATAACTGTGAATAAATAATGTGCTTCGCATAAACACTAGTGGGTTGGGGGCTGACAAAATCTCGGCGTGCAGACACATACAGGGGTATTTCGAGTGGCTTTTAACAACTTGTCACCTGTGGCACAAAATTATGTCTGTTTATTTATTAAAGATTGAGCACAATACATTGAAATCTGTCCAATATTAGACTTTGACTGTAAAACGCACCATTTGAGGGTCAACAAAGTTGCAAGTATCTAACCATGTTTAGCAGAACCTTCGAGTTGAATTAGGTCTGGATTAATAGCTAGAAACAGTAAACCAGCTCATTAAACTATATATTTTTATCTACGTAGATAGTCTGAACGTACCTTACTTATGAGCTGATGACGTCAGTCAAATAACTTTCCTCCCATCTTTAGGGAGAAGTGATTATGCGGTCATCTTCTTCAACTTCGTGGCTGAGATGGCCTGTCAAACAGTTGTACCGGCCCGTCCTAACGTATGGAAGGTAGACATAAAGGCAATCAACTCTGCAGCCTCGATTGAAAACTGGATAATTGACTCAATAACACCAGTAAAAGAGGCATGAACTCACTTAGGGCATTTATTCAATCAGTTAGCTCTTATATTTATACCTTGGACGGTTCCAAAGAAGAACATGGACGACCATCCCTGGATAGACCGAGATATTCGACGTTTACTAAGACAAAAAAATACGTTGGAACATCGCCATCAGCCTTGGCACAACAAGTATGATGGAACTCTACAGGTTGGTACGAAATAAGTGTATAATTATAATCCGAGAAGCTCAGCGAAAATATGAAAAGCAGTTAGCCCAACCTGTAATCGAGCAACCTAAAAAACTATTCTCGCAAATAAATTACAGAACAAGGACGCAGCATTGAATTTCCAAACTAAATACAGAAGGGAGTGAATCTGAAATGATGGAGGATGATCAGGACAAATCAGAGTCTATGAAAAACTATTTCGAGACAGTTTTCATTCTGGAACCTCCTCTGGACGAAGGATTAGACTCAAATACGAAGTCAATAAGTTGTCCGCTTACTGCGTACTTAGTTCGAGACGATGTACTTAAAACCCTGAGCACTTTGGACACAAAAAAGTCAACAGGACCGGATGAACTACACCCCAAACTCTTGAGACTAATAGCACAATGTATTGCTGCCCCATCAACTACGCTATTCAATATGTCACTTCGTCAAGGTGAGTTACCTACGAACTGGAAGGATGCAATTTTCACTTCAATACATAAAACAGCATTAAGACAACTTCCACTAAACTACAGACCTGTCGGTCCCACAAGTGTCATAGTTAAACTACTGGGAAGAATAATCAAAAAGACCATAATGATATTCGTAAAAACCAACAACTTGTTAAACAGCGAACGACATGGTTTCAGAAAAACTTTGCCTCACGAAACAAAACTCCTTATAGCAAGAAAGGGATAGAGCCTCTAGATAATGGGAAATCAGTGGATGTTGTCTACATAGACTTCAGAAAAGTATTTGATAAGGTGCCAACAAATAGAGTTGAAGCTGAAAACTCTAGGCATTGCCGGACTTCTTCTGAAATGGCTTAAGGATTTCCTGGTAGGTCGTAAAGAGAAAGTAAGAACAAATTTCAAGTGCTCCGGGTGGAAACCAGTACTTAGTAGAGTACGACAAGGTTCTGTCTTAGGTCCTTTACTTTTTATGCTGTATGTAAATGATCTCCTTAGTATAGTTGAGCCCCCAATGTTACTATACTCTGATGATGTAAAACTCTGGCGAGAAATGAAAAGTGACACAAATGCATGCGCAATTCAGGAAGACTTATATCTTCTGATTAGCCGGTCTAAAAAATGGTTGATACCTATCAAAGCGACCAAGTGTATCTACACCCTTTTTAAGGATATAAAGACAAATAGGCACAGTACAGGGCAAGTGTCTTTACCCATAGTCCGGTCACACAAGGATCTTAAGGTGACAGTGAGTCAAGATCTTAAAATCATGGCCCACTGCCGGGAGGTTGCAGCTAAGGGTTTTATAACCCTATGGGCTTTAAGACGGACATTCACAAAGTAAAGTACTACTATGTTCACTACAATACACACAATCTTAGTGAGAAATAAACTTGAAAACTGAGTTTAAGATGCGAGCCTCTGTTTAAAAGGTGACTCGGATATCCTGGGAAAGGTATAGAGGGTTTACCACATAAAGAGCGGTTTGGAAAGCTGAACTTCTTTACTCTGTCCAACCCCGAATAAAGAGTTGATCTGACTTTAATGTACAGAATGAAAAGACATAATCTCGAACCTAATATATCCTTTTTATTACTACCAGATTAAGACAACTCAGAGGAAATAGCAGGTGAGTAGAAAAGCAAATAACAGATAAATTAACTGTAGATTACAGATTTTCACATCGAGCCGTCAATTCTTGGAACCTGTTATCCGAAGCAGTGGTGTTCGCACCTTCAATTGACTCATTCAAGAGAAGACTAGACACACAGAAGTATACTAGAAAAAGAATAACATAGACCGTAGGTTCTCTGTCCTTACTACACAAATCTGAAGTTGTCCACATTGGCTGCGAGTCCTACGAGGCATGAAAGAAAACTACAAGGAATTAAAGGCAGTCAGTAGATGCATTATCAGATTATGACGTCACTTGTAACTGGATTGAGTCATGCTGGAATATCCAGTCCTACTTCCAGTCTGACGAAGTCATGGTATTTGGCTGAAGAAATCATACGAGGTAGATTAGTATCGATCACAATGTGGAAGATGTATTTAACCTTTACCTTCTTTTGAATCTTCAGTTTTAACATTACAATACACTTTGTTATCTAGTTCGACGTCTTTACAACTACACTCTTCATGCTAAGCGCATCAATTTAATTAATACTGATTAGGATTGAATTCCATTAGTGAGTTAACCGAGCAGAACAATGAAATTTGCGCAATTTAAGCTGGTCATCAAATTTAAAGGTGAGAGTTAAACCCCTAAAATTCAGCAGAAAACGGTGCAATGTCTATAAGTATACCTGAATCAACCACTATTATTCGATTACAGCGCCTATAATAGAGTTACGAACATCTTGTTACGCCTTTTGATGAAAAACATCACCACGAAATTTCTCGGTCGACATAGTCGAAAGACAACCTCAAGTCAAGAAATACATGTGCTGTGACGTACATTACAACAAAAGCTGTAATATAATGACGTATGTGCTGCCATATAGTGCGGAATGCTCGCATTAGCTTCAATAATAAACAAAGACGTACTCATGAAATTAAATGAGCAGTGCGCACCAGTCCACATAACATACGAGCCCTTGTTTTAGCGTTATAACAAAATTATCTAGACAGCCTGGATATAATTACAATAGAAATTCCAGGAAGACCATATCTTTCACAGAATGACTCCAAAATTGGAACACGAGGGCTAGTTGTGGGCACGATATACACTGATATTTGAATACAACAGAAAAGCTACTACTTGAAAAGGGTAGTCAGTGACACGAATTACAGTATACATAAAGTAGGAGAGAAACATAACCCATACTGGAGATCAGTTAAATCAGACCATGAAACTTTCCCCTGGTAAGTAATACGCGGTAAAATTCAGGCAAAACTTTCCCGTGGAACTGGTTCTGTTTTAGTGATTTTAGGCACACTGAGGAACCCATTAAATATTTCGTCCCTAGCATTACTGAAAATACACTTCATCATGAAATCGACGTAAAACGGAATCGAAATAAGTGACATATCTTGTATGCAAAGGCTTTAAGGAAGAGCCAAGTATTTTAGACCTACTGGTGTGTAATGTTAAGGGATATAAATAACTAACAAGATTACTCCACTTAACAGACAAGAAAAATAAGTTAGACCGAGTTCACTGGAGTTCCTCTAAAATAAACTAAGATCTAAACAGATCAAGCTAGTTTTTTGAAAGTGAATGTATAGCAACGCACATTACAAATTTCCAGATTACTACAGTATTACGAAAGTTGTATAAGACGAAGTTAAACCCACTTGCAATAGTATCATAAAGCACAACAGATGACTTGTAGGATAAATAATATTCCTGGATATTGGTTATCAACAATTTCATTTAAATTCGTTAGAATCCATCGAACCTGGACAAAATAAAACCAAGGAATGTCGGAAACCCAAAACATTATTCATTCCGCGCATTGGATCGCGCGCTGAATGGCAGATGTAAGTAACATAGACTAACTAATCATGTGTAGTGGAGTTACAATCCTTTAAAGACCTAAAATTATCCCTTAATTCAGTAGTTTCGAACATAGTTTGAAAATAACTCATGAAAGACACTAAAATGATTTAGAGCCTCATGCAGTAAATTTCATATCCCACTATCTTTATGTTGACATGTATATTCAATGATGTTTGTAATGACAAAATAAGGATTATATTTTGTTGCCCCTTATATAAAACCTCATTTGTAACTAACATATATTGTGAATCAGTACCAATAAAATCGGACGTGCAGAGGAGCCTTCGTCAATCAATTGAACTCATTTGCATTTGTTATCTCAGAAAGCTTACAAGTGCCACTACTTTCCTAACAAATATTATCATTTTTCGCTACTAAACATACCATTTCGTTGTGCTGTTTTTACCGTTTTCTCTAATTCATAGATAAGCACTTTACTTTGTAGAGTTGGTTTTTCCGTACATCATCATTGACTTTGTACACTATTACACCTTGAACATGTCCTTTTATTGGGATCCACCATGCTTTCGAATATCTAAACTTTGAAGGAATAAGGAATGGCTTGTGTGCCAGGATATCACTCTGAGTGATTAAGGATTACTTTTATTATAAAGATATGTGATTCTTACTTTGGCTCATTACAGTACTGAGTTTTTAAAAACGAGAGCAAATATTAGAAAATGTGACCCAAAAGCAACATCCCAAGTAATCTTACAGTGTGCCCTCAAGAATAAATCGCAAAACTTCCTACAAATGAATTAATACAATGTGACATTAATACATGACTATTTACTGTCCTTAAATTTCTTTTCACCCCAACAGCATGGTTTCAGGAAGGGTTACTCTTGTATAACCAACCTGCTGACTGCGGTGGACAGATGGACAAGCATCCTTGATCTCAAGGGGAAGGTTGATGTCATTTACCTTGACTTCTCAAGAGCTTTCTGTAAGGTTAACCATATATGTCTTGTCAATAAGCGAAATCAGTTCGGGGACTCAAATTCAAACCTTATGAAGAGCGCCTCCAATCACTCAACCTTTACCCATTAAACACAGGCATCTTAGATGTGACCTTCTGATTGCCTAAAGTATCCTTAACACTTCTGGAGATCTCCTTAAACACCTACTACCAATACAAACTTAAGGGGTAACACCCAGAAATTGGAGATACAACATAGCAGAACGGACTGTTGACGCAACTCAACTGCTGGAATTCACTGCCGACCGAACTAGTCCAAGCGACTTCCCAGGAGTCCTTTAAGAGGAAACTTGACCTATTCTCAAATAACAGTTTGTTACATGAGGCATGCCAATTTACAGGCAAGATCAAATTGATATTAATGATACAATATCAACAGTAGTAAATTACATAGCTGGGTTGATGATTTATAAGATATGAATGTAGATGGTTTTTAATCAGTACCACAAATGGCGCGCTTCAGGGAACTGTTTTGTAATCATACCATTGAACTAACGATATAACTATCATGGCTATGCTAACGTTAAACCAATTATTATTAGTGGTCCATACAAAATTCTGGAACTTAACACTAGCGTTATAAAAAACATGTTACGACAATAACATATTTTTTCTGATTGGCTTAAGTATTAGGTAAAAGGGAAAACTACCAAACTTGTAGTATTTCTATAGTATTATTATTAATGTAAACAAAGAACTTGTACTGTTCCAATATGGCAATTTGACATATCGATCTGTCCTCTTGTCATTTTTCCTTATATCTAAACGAATTACGGGCAACAAACATAGTATGCAAGGGGTTTTGTGAACAAAAACGCAGGCCCCACATGTTACGTTCACGTTTTTGCTCGTTCTCTTTATTGAAGCACGGTATATCGATCTATTTGAAATTTACGAACCCAAATTGACAATAGAACCAAATTCCAATTTAGGTACGAAAGTTTATTCACAATTTACAAATAGTCGACCCAGATGTCGTTCCAACAATAATTATAACAATTATTGAAACAAACGTTCAATTTTGTGGGTTCGTAGAGAGAAAACTCCCGAATATCAAACCAAAGACTGAGAGAAACCAAAATATCCAAAAATAATGATATTGTAGTGACCTACTTTTATCAAGAGAATGAGATTGGTTCAGTGGAAACGATCATTATTGTAACCAATTGTACCAGTGATTGTTTTGCTGTGCCTGTTTGTTTAACTATACTAAAGGCATCCATTACTCCCATTATTCTTCCGTTGACTTTGACCTTGTACGTTCGCACGTTCGCCCATTCATTCCACTTGTATTTCCTTTGGCACGATCTTGGTATATTTTCAATACCACGAGATCGCCAACGAATAAATCTGGTTACAATCTCCGTTAGCCTTCTGATTTTCTGGTACGTACTCATCTTGTAATGGTCATTATAGTCAACCTTGACTCGACGCCGCACTACAATATAAACAAACAAGTTCAGAATTAAGTGAAACAAATACATCCAAAAACACAGTGAAATTAATGATATAACAGTAATAATAAGTGTTTAAATCAACCAAATGTCTACAGTTCTCCCGTAACACCACACACACTCGAACCTTCGCCCTACTGAATGCTAGACCAAATGATAGAGGACAAACTTGGGCTAGAGACAGAACCATATATTTAATATGAATAAAAGACTATGTTACATCACTTAAGAGTGACCACGCATGCGGAGCCGAGTCATGCCGTCCGATCAATTCGAATTCCTTCAATTCATTGTTACAGCCTTTTTCATTGTTCGATTTTTCTCCGCACTAAATGTTGAATATTTTCAGCTCCAAGGATTGTGTGATTAAAGTCCAGTGCCACTACAATACCCCCGAAACAGGCTACGGTCCCGTAGTCTATCCGTGGAACACCTTTAGGCGCTAACCTCCTGACAGCATTTTGCTTCGTAGTGAGGTGCTAGTCTTAGTACGAGAAGAAACGTATGAGGGGGCTACCAAACTTTTGTTTTCTGGAGGATCACGAGTAGCTGCAGATTGTATGCTAGGTTTATGGGTTCACAGACGTTATGTTATTATTCTTGTGCTTCCCATTGATGTAGCGAAGTTGGCAAGGACTGCCATGACAATGTATTCAAAGGTTTCGTTACGTAACTGAAAGAATTTTGGTGGCTGGTGTAACAGCGAGAAAACGCTGAAAGTCCCTCCACAGCATTTCGCTGGACAGTACTGCCATTTATTTGTTCCTTCTCCCCCTTGTGTATTTTAACCTTTATTCAGATATCTTTTAAGTAAGCTATATGTTCTCCAGTCTTCCTCGTCCGAGTTTTTATTGTGTGACTGGGGTTAAAGACTAACCTTGTGTTACTTAACTTTTCCGTTGTATGTTGCCGGGCTATTGGTAATAAGGTTTTGTTTGACAAAGCTGAGGGTCACGGCGTGGGTTAGTGTGTAACCTTCAACCTTCTGCTATCTGTTTCGAAAGATTTCTGGAATCTCTGTGGATACATGAAGAGCGAATTTGTAGTACTTTAATGGTCTTTGATAAAAAAACAGACGTCGGTATTAAGACTTTCACGAAGCCTAGCCAACCCTATCTGTCGTCCGATAGTGTGAGAACGTTGAAGGGGGTCAGTTTAAACGTGAATTATCTGAATTTCAATCGGGGCAAGAATATTATTTTCAGTAATTATCATTACTTCATTTTATTTGTGTGTGGGCTGTGATAATACCTGGATTACTAAACCACTTACCAAGATGCAGCTGAGGAAACGTAACAGATGTTAACTGAAATTTCGGGGAAGATGAGTCTATTGTCGTTTATGACCTCTATGAACGCTTTAGACGATCGGGTTCTGCTTTGTCGGAACTAAATGAACTTCTAAATGTTCATAAGAATGTCTCCTTATGTTCTAAATTTGATGTGAATAACGCTTCCTATCATTTGATTGCTAAATGGTTAGTTGAAACTTTATAATCTGTTGGAAGTCACATCAATAAATACACCTCACTTGATTTTGTCGACTCATTTAGAAATATCAATGCAAATGATAGAAAAACGATCTCATTAAATCTCTTTACAAGTGTTCTCTTTACAAAGACTATATTTCTAGTTTTGCGAGATATATGTCAGTCAATACGGGACCTAGTGGTGAACCCATCGTGACGCCATCTATTTGTATATATATTTCGCCACTGAATTTGAAGTTCACGTTCATAGCAAATTTTAGTAATAATTCCTTGGTAATCTCCTCAGGGATTTTAGTCTATTTCTTGTTCTATGAGTTTTTCACAGATGTATTCCAAAGTCTTTCTAAGTAAGGCATTTGTAAACAATGATATAACGTCTGAGGGCATCATAGTTTGTCCTTTAGTGTTTATGTTCTTGATCTTGTCGACGAACTGGAAAACATCTCTATTACTATGCTTCACTAGGTTTAAGTGGTTTTAAAATGGTTACTAATCACTTTGCTACAGTATAAGTGGAATTGTACATGTCTGAAATTGAATTCAGTGTGAAATCCCGTCTGTGTGCCTTCTGTAGTCCGTATGACCTAGGTAAATGGGTACATATCAGCCTAAATTTCGACAGATACTCATCAGAAATGGCTACCCACCTAGATTCGTCGATAGAAACTTAACACCAAAACAACAACCTGCTTTATGGTCGTTGAATTTAAAGGAGATACGGCCGCCAAATCTTGGATAAACAGATCTCAATATCCCTTAATAACAACTTCTAATCAACTAAGCTCGTATATCCTTCTCAAGCCGGTCTACTATTCACAGATATTTTAAGGATAAACTCCCACTTCGAACCACATCCATGTACATCTATAAATTTATCTGCTCTTGAAGTTCAGGTTACAGTGACCACAAATAGCGACCGCTTTCCAAACGCATCTCAGAACATTACTCGACGTGACCTTCAAAGAGAATGCAAAACAATCACTAAATCAATAAGAGAGCACCTGATCAACTCTGGTCACATTTCCTTTAAAATAATCCGGGGAATCAAGGAA